ACAAATACAACAAAAAGATACATTCAGTAAGCAGCATTTATGTAGTTAATACTTTAGAGTAGTTCTACTTTTCTAGTCAGTTGAAACTTGTATAAAAGAATTAAACAGTGAATGCTCTTCAAGTCTTGCACATGTTACCTAGTAACCAGTTTAACAACATATAGTACTAAATATAATGATTTTTACTTGAGTTGCTTCATGTCCTGATCTAATGTTTTCATACAAATCTCTCAGTGACTCAGCGATACATTTACGGACTTACAACGCTAAAATCAGGGGTTCTATTCCCTATGATGGAGAGGGTGCAGAAGGTGTATTGTGTGGCTTTGGACTAAAAAATACAAACAAAATATTCCCTACCATATTCATAATAATTGTACAAGTGTCATTCTGTTAGTTTTCTTTGCAACTGGCATCTTCTTTTCCAAAATTATTGCCCGTTTATCTTTAGTGTTTCTACATTCAGTTTTTGTTTTAGCTATTTCATAATGATTATATCTGCTATTTAAACTGGGCATACACACAATTTATTTATGAAATAGCTTCCCAGAGCTAATTTTCTAAACTTCGGTTTAAACTAATGATAACTTAGTTTCTTACATTAATGTAAACAATACAAATAAAGTGTTTCTATACCATACACAGTGTTAAGTTCTGTTATTCTCAAAAAAGGTTAATTTTTATATAACTATTCATCTTCTTTTACAAATTTTGACCGTTAATTTACTTCCTTTGAAAGTTTTTTGTGATGTTGTGGGTTTCGAACGTGGAGTCAGAATTAAAACCAAGCAACATTGTATTTCAGTTAATCAAGAAGTTCTTTGTTATTTTATATTTACTTCTTTATAATATGATAAATAATGAATAGTGTAAACAAATAATTATATTATTATTATTATATTTCAGATAAAAAAGAGCAGTATATTAGTGTTAGTTTATTTTGCTCTCGGTTAATCATTATGTCTGAACGATTGTTTCGGGGCGTATTTACGATAGAAAATCAATACATGATTTCTGCTGATAGTTGTGGAAGAAAGAGTTCATTTGATTTTTATTTCAATTTAATATCACATCTTTTGCTTAGCTTGTTGTTTTATTATGAAAAATATTCGCAGGTTAACTGACAATATTCTACACCCACAGATGTACAGAGGTTAAGTACAAATTTGGATTCTCACAATGTCAATACAGTCTATGTCGCCATCCGAACCTACTCTATCTGAGTATAGAACATTTTAACAATAGCCCAATAGTGTAGTCATTATTTCAAAAGGCTCATCCTAAAGCTGTTATGTCTAAAGCACACACACACTTACTGCATGCTTTACATAATTCATCTAGTGTACCAGGACGACTGTTTCTCAGTGCCCGTTTCGACAGTCCAATCGCACATAAATCCATAAGCACTGCGTTTGGTGAATTGACTGATATGCTTTATATGGAATAGCATGAAGACCCATTTCTTTTTCCTGGTTGAATGGATATGTCATGGAAGAAACTTGTATAACTGCGTCTTATGTCACTTTTTCCAGACGGAGGTCCTTCTTTGTTATATTTAGTACTGTTGCCTGCAGCACAAGGACAACTATAGCCACAGACCTTTGTATTCTTGGATTCGTACTTGTTATAAGATACCGCACTTCAGCTGAGATACGACTTGTTGCAAGTCTCTTTTTGAATGGTCCCAAGTTGATCCATGTTCCTTTGAATTCCAATATGATAAAGTCTAGGAAATTCTAAATTCACGATCTGAACACATCTATATGATCTGAGTATACGAGTATTTTGCGACGGAAAGGGCTGTTGTATACTCTTTCCAAAATCAGTCAGTTTTGGGTGACAACATCACACTATCGTAGATAGTGTGATGTTGTCACGTCAAAATGTGATTCTGATACGTACCTTTACACCACGACGTTACATCGATTGTGACTGTGACAGACTTGCTGATTTAGGGTATTCAAAATCGTGTTAATATAACGTCCTCAACCCTGTGTACATGTTTGATGTTTAGCATTATGTTCCTTATGATGACAGTACTTTGTAAATAAATTCAAAGTGCAACTATAACAATTTCATCCATAATTAGTGGGGTGTGGTTACTACTTAGGTAACTTGTAAGTGACAATGACCAGCTTTTACAGTTAATTAAATAATTTCTTTGTTGTTATTACAATTTCAGTTTTTATAAACTTGGTTTTACTCACACTTACGATATATTTGTTATTTTTGTATAGTTTATATTTCGTGTCTTCACTTTCTTCCAAGAGCGTAAATATTTGTGTGTATTTAAGCTTGATGATTACATTTTAACATGTGTAATATTTTTTTTTATAATATAAAACGCTAAATTTCTTATTTAGCAAAATATTCGCTTTTTTATTTGTTTTCTAAATGTAGGTTAAGAAACACATATACCGAAGTGCCGTTATTCAGGCCGTTAAATGTTTCGACTGAATTTCTTTGATATTTATCTGGCATACCCGGCTACACCCTACTGAACGACTCTTGGCGTTACGATTTATTAACCATATATAAAATATGCATGCACACTTATTTAGTTATACCGAATTTTCTGATTTTCTTGGAATATTAATTTCAGAAAAATTCTCAACATGTTTGCTTTTAAATTGATAAAATACAACAACAACAAAATCCATCTTATGTTTGTTTGTTCTTTTAACTACAAAAATACCACTGTGCATGTTTTATGCTATCACACGCCCTCTTTGGGTGTTTTACCTAGAGTTGTTAAGACAGGAAGCCCAAAATACATTTAACACAGCTTAAATGTACATTAATGTTATTCTATTTATATGTACCTTTACTTATTATTTTTACAAAATTTATACAAATAAATAATTCAAGGTGCATTTGAGACTAAAGAAAAGTTATTACAGTACCTTTAAATCCCAGGTTTCTACCCGACGTTACCTAAGGCCGATTTATCCATATACGAGAATTTAAAAAAAAAGCAATAATTAAAAATATAGTATTTTATTTATACGTGTATAAAATATAACAAGAAGACAAGTGTTTGAAATTATATTGTATCTAACTGTGTTAGTGCCTTAGTTACAACTATCTGATTAATATATCTCTCATACGTGTAGTTATAATTTTTTACTATTTTCAGTTAATACAGAATGTAATTAATTTTGAATACATTTTCTTTCTTAACACTGTTATACTTCCCATTATTAAAGATAACCTGTTGTGAAAATGTTTAATCGAACTGTTTTAGACGCATTTTTGTATATATCTATATGTGTTAAAAATTTCGTTTCTTTTTCAACAGAGGTGAAATTGAAAAGAGAATAACGTAGATGCCTAATACATTCTTTGATTGGCCGTACCATCTGTTGTGGACTATAATTTCACCTACTCAAGACTCATCAGCACATCTTGGATCCGCAAACCAAAGAAATACCATTAGGCCTGTTATAATGTTGAAGTGTATAAATTGTATATAATATATATAACTTGTTAACTAATTATTAGTATTATTGCATCATTATTGTTTGACGTTGTAACGGTCGAAAATAACATGCCGCTATAACTAGGTGGCACTGGTTAGTTACTTTACATAAATCCAGCTGGCCGATTATGATCATATTTAGTAGTTTGACAAACATGGCATGACAACACAAAACTGTTAATGTCCTTTCTCATACCAGGCCAATAAACATGTCTGGATATTTTGTCTATTGTTTTTCGGACACCTAGATGACCAGCCGTAGGATGATCATAGAATTTGATTAACATCGAAAAGTCTCAATGTTTTGGGAATACCTGGTCTGAATTCACCGTTGCTATCAACCCCTTTTTGTGTAATAAAGAACATTATCATTCAAGACAGTGTTTGGATTTTCTTACAATCTCTAAAACTGTATTAGAATCATCTGGTAATAGTACAGTTTTCAAATAAGAGTATATATGCTTATATTCCTCATCATTAGCTTGTTCAGTAGGCAATTGTTCTCTAGTGTTAACATTGACAATGGCAACAAATTTAGGTGTTAGCTTACCGACGTACAATTCTGGAGTTTCTTCTGAGGGATCAGTGGGATAGCTAGATGAGGCATCAGGTAACTGATTCTCTTTTCTTTTTCTGTAAAGTATTTCAAATGTTAAGTCCTGCAATTTTGATGACCAACGCATCATTTTACCAGTTAACTTCGGAGCTGTCTCCAACCATTTCAAGACCACGTGGTCAGTTATAACTGTAAATTCTTCTTCATCTTGGTATATCTTAAATGTTTCTATAGCCCAGACTACGGCTAGATATTCTAACTTTGTAGTTTTATAGTTTCTTTCTGGAGGGTTCAGTGTTGTAGTGGAATATGATGACATAGATCTGCGCTTAATCTAACATTTGAATAATCAGTATGCAAAAAATAATGGTTACCTTTTCTTGGAAGTTGCAAAACAGGGGATTCACATAGAGCGTGCTTTAATTTCCGGAATGTATACTCACACTGGAGGGTCCCTTTCCACCTGATCCGCTTCCTTCATAACTGATATACAGGTTCAGCAAATGTAGCACAGTTTGGAATGAACTGATATACCAGGCACACATACCCAAGAATGTGCTTAACCCTTACAATTTGCAGTTTCTTAAAGTTGGAAAGTCTTTAATAGCTTTCATTTTGTCATTATTTGTGTATTATTTCAGAAGAAATTTAAATCCCAAATATGATACTTCTGGTTAGCAAAACTTGCATTTAGAAACTTTTACAGTACGATTAGCTGTACGTAACTTGTAGAAAATCAATTCAAGGTTTTTCAAGTGTTGTTCAAATGTGAGTGAAAACTCTATATTATCATCAATATAAGCCTTGGAACATTCAGTTGCTCCTGGTAAAACCTTATCCATAAGTCTCTGGAAGTTAGCAGATGTATTTTTAACACCAAAAGTCATCACTTTAAATTGATAAAGTTAATTATCTGCTATGAAGGCAGTTTCAAGTCGATCATCCACCTTAATAGGTATTTTCCAATATCCAATTGATAAGTTTAATGAAATGATACAGATTGCTCCTGACAAAGCATTCAAAATATCATTTATATGAGGCAATGAATAGCGGTCAGAATCCGAGACGATTTAACTTCTTGTAGTCAACACAGAAGCTAAAATCATTAGTCTTCTTCTTAACACTGGAGAAGCCCAAGAAGAAGTGGATGGTTCAATTAACCTATTACAAAGCATTTCATTCACACTTGATCGTGTAGCACTTGTAATATAGTGGGAGAATAACGATAAAGTTTACTAAACACTGGCTTTTCATTCGTAGTTACAATACTATGTTCAGACCAACCTGTGAGGCCAGGTTTATTGTTAAAAATATCTGCATATTTCAACACAAGTTGCTTTAATTGTTCACAGTCTTTACTCTTTAAATGTGAATATTGTATTTCTCAAATCAGTATTTTTCAGCCTCGGATCCATGCCTAACACATGACACACTTAATTGAAGAACATTTGCTTCGTTTTGCTGAATGAAGTCTAATCTAATAAGACAAAATGCAGACAAAACTTTGACGACAGCAAAACATTGGTTCACAACGCTACTTGTTACCAAAAGTTTTGCTTCAAAATATCATAGTGGTCTATGGTTAGTCTTTCCATCTGCAAGACACATGTTATCTTTACTCCAAGTTTTTAATTGAAGTGTTGGATCATCTGTTGCCATATATTATCATTTATTACTCAATAACCCGATCCATTATCAATACGACCTACTATAATTAATTATTACTACTAATACAACTACTACTACCTACCATTAATTTTTAGGGTTAGGTGTGACACAGCATGCTTCAAGCTTGCCACATCAGATTCACTAACTTCTATAGTAACACAGTTATTTTCAAACATTAGTTAACTTTTATTTAACTGAACTTAAATTAATGCTGAATTAACCACTCGACAATGAATTGAGAAACAAACAATCCAAAGCCACAACTCAACCTCTATAAAAGAGATTCCTGTTCGGGCGCCAGTGTAACGGTCTAAAATAACACACCGCTACAACGTTTATTTTTTGGTACAGAACCTAATATGTGCATCATTTCTTTGTTTAAATGGCTAAAATCTAATCATGCAACTGATAGGAACATGTGGACAATTTAGAAGGTAGAAGACAGCTACTTCCAAAAATTATTAATGAAATATTTTGTTTTCATATGAACATTTTCCTGGTATGAATTGTTGTATATTTAGTAATTTAACCGATAATTTTTACACCAGTTGTTTAGGAGTGTGGTTGTTAAGTTGTTCAAGACGATTTGTGGTTGATTTTGTGTTTTTATTTTCACGGAGATAGTTGCTTCAGTTTAGACTAATATTAACTTCCGATCAGGACAAGCTGTATACTTAGAACGAAAATAAAAATGAACTTGGCAATCAGTAAAAATTAATTAAGTATACTTTTCTCACGTTCCTACGTATAAAGATTAGAATGTATTGTTTCATCAGTTAGATACCTTCGCTGTTAACGATATTTTCGGCCATAATTCCAAAAATAGATCCTGCGTTTTGGCCAACTTAGTAAATTTAGGTTAGTCTTAAATCCATATGCTTAGCAAACAAATGGATAATAATATTTAAAAAGAAATGTAATTATGAAAAATAATGAAAACAGATATATTAAAGATTCTCACCAATACTGTTAATGAAAGTAACATTAAAGAAATGACAGTGTGACCATTTCTCCGAGAAGAGTTTGTAACTAAAGGATCGATATGTTTGGGGTGAAAAAAAGCAAGAAGAATGATATGACTGCCAATGAAAAATAATGAAAAGTTAGTGAATGAATTTATTGTGAAGTTATTACAGCTTAAAGAAGTCATCAAGCAATTTACAAATCCCAGTCTGAAATAAGAATAATTCAAACCACCGTTTAGACCGTCTATGGGTTTGTCACAGATTTACAGTTATAAACCTGCTTTTTTGGTTTACAAGTTTTATTAACTAGTATATGAGATTTGAAGTTTTTGTTATGAAATTTCTGTTCATTGCAAGCTGTTCTTTTTTCTCCAAATCTTTAAACAACAGTGACACTGCCATATAATTCTACATACTCTGGGATATAAAACATGTTTATAAATTTACTAGTAGTGGTTTTTTGGTTGCTATATAATGATTTTCATCAGCGAAAACTAAATGAATAAGGAAGAAGTAAAAGCAGAGTGAAAATAGAGTTTGAAACATCTATTAACTTGGCAGGAAAACATTTAATATTTTAAGCAGTAATATATCAACAGATTTCATAAGTTTGACCGTGGCCTTAGGCTTCACCTGCTAGCTACTTAAATATATATTCGAAAACATAGAGAAGTAAAGAACGTATGTGTAGGTTCATTTATGGTTTATAAAATAAAGAAAAGTATCCATACAAGGTAAATATTACAAATAGTACACTTGTAACAATAAAGGCGTTTTTTTTTACTTTTTTACTGTAATATAAGTTTCATAAGAAAACACAATCAACAAAATACGCACATACAAAATTAATAATTTATAAATGGGAATATTGAATACTATTAGTTTCGTTTGACATTTTCTAATTATTATACATAAAAACATATTCATAAATTTAATGCGAAAAGTCTGACCGAACAATGTATTCTCACCGCGAAACTTTTGTTAATATTTAGTTTTATACAACATTCGACCGTTCCAGTTTCTTTTCATTGGCTCTAATTTTGTGTGTGTTTTTATCTTGCCTACATGAAATCTGCTATTGTTACATCTCTTCCATTTTTAAAACACGATCCATAATTGACAGAAAAAAACTGAGATTTTCTAATTTTTGACGTAATTCTTCAACATGGCATATGAGAAAATGTTTAAAAACCTACTGTGGGGTGAAAAACATGTCACTTAAACAATGTGTTTGTGATGTGTAGTCTGTTAAGCATTGAGATGTAACATGTAGAGAAAAACATGCAAGATAAGCGTTGGAGGGGTAACAGCTAGAGTAAAACCTATAGTGTCAACCAAGACGAATCCATAATGTTTAAAAGGCTTTAATATTGACAACTTTATGGTTTCGAGAGGACCGTTTATAGGGGAATGAACTATGACGGCTGTATCTTGTCGAGAGGACCATGTGTAGTGGAGTGAAATATGACGGCTGTATCTTGTCGTGAAGACATTGTGTAGTAGAGATAAACAATGACGGTTGTATCGTGTCAAGAGGACCATGTGTAGTGGAGTGAAATATGACGTTCGTATCTTGTCGTGAAGACCGTGTGTAGTAGAGATAAACAATGACGGCTGTATCGTGTCAAGAGGACAATTTATTGTGGGGGAAAACAATGACTGCTGTATCGTATCGGAGTAAAAAAAGCATAAAACAATGGACAATTGTTCCAAATAAACAATGGTGAGATTAGTAAAGCTTACTATAAAAATATTATCACGTATAGCGAGGAAACTTTGAATTCGTAAAATAATAATAAGAATTTGTATACAATATTAAAATTGTGAAACTTTGTATTTCTGAATATTTTATGTTTGTTCTTTCATAATTAAATAAAGAAATACGAAACTTACATTTTATAAAGTTATTTTTTCTTCTTTCAAATGCAACTTTGTAAAAGAGCTGGTTATTGCTGAACGGAATAGAAAACATATATAAAAAAAGTTTGTCATTCTTCGATAGCTGGTGTTTCTATTTTCCTTACGTAAGGTTTACTATATTATTTATTTATTGTTACTTTCATTAAAAGTACTGCCTGTTTAATATATTGAGCGTTATTGCTTTTAAATTCTATTTCTTATTTTTATACTATTATTATAGGAATTTTTTACATTATTAGATTGAGAGGAAACTGAAGAATAGAATAA